ACCTGCCCGCCCTCGAGCACAAACCCTAAAAAAGTGACAGATGGTTGGTGAAATTCACATTCTTCTGCCTTCACAAAGAGCTTGTTTTCCAAAAGTCTCTGAAGGACCAGACGGACATGTTTCTTATGCTCTGATAGGTTCTTGGAGTAGATCAAAATGTCGTCAATGTACACAAACACGAATATATTCAAAAAATCTCTGAGGACGTCATTGACTAGAGCTTGAAAACAGGCAGGAGCGTTTGTGAGACCAAAAGGCATGACCAAATACTCAAATTGGCCTAAGGGGGTCTTAAAGGCTGGCTTCCATTCGTCTCCTTCTCTTATCCTAAGAAGGTGATAAGCATTTCTTAAATCGAGCTTGGTGAAGACTGTTGCACCCTGAACAGGTTCAAATGCTGATGCCAGTAATGGTAGTGGGTACTTATTTTTGACGGTTATCTGGTTAAGGCCTCTGTAATCTATACAGGGTCGTAGGGAACCATCCTTTTTGCCCACAAAAAAGATACCAGCACCAAGAGGAGAAGAAGATGGACGGACTATCCCAGCAGCCAGAAACTCATTAATATATTTCTCCATGGTCTCACGTTCAGGCTTAGAGATGTTATAAAGTCTACTGCTGGGCAGGGGAGCTCCTGGTAATAATTCTATGGCACAGTCATATGGTCTGTGAGGTGGAAGAGACGTTGTACTGACCTTACTGAAGACTGGTGCCAGATCATGATACTCGGAAGGCACAGAAGTAAGGTCAGGAGAGTCCATCTCCCCCCTACCTCTAGGAAACTGAACAGCGGGAGCTGCAGAACGAAGACATGTCTCGTGACAGGAAGTGGACCAAGACTCAATGTGGCGTTCAGCCCAGTTTATATGGGGATTATGTCGTTCCAGCCACTCGAATCCAAGCACCAAGGAGGAGCATGCAGAAGGAAAAACAAAAAAGGTTAATGTCTCACGATGATTTCCGGAGATTAAAAGTTCTAGAGGTTGTGTTTGATGAGTGACTTGATGGAGTTTCTTTCCATCAATAGCAGATACTCTGAGAGGCTTGGATAACGGAACAGTTTCAATCTGTAATTGCTGGACCAGGTTAGAATCAATGAGGTTACTCGCACATCCAGAGTCAATGAAAGCAGACAGGGTGAGATTCTGGTTAGAAAAAAAAAAGTGTAGCAGGTAACATCAGATGAGGAGCCTTTTCAGTTTTCAAATGGCCCGTCAGACTCCTCAGTTCCTCTGACGGGCCCTGGCTTTTGACTTAGCCGGGCATGAAGCAATGAAATGACCAGTCTCACCACAGCATAGACACAGATTGCCCCTGAATCGTCGTTGTCTTTCCTCAGGGGTTAGCCTTGTATGTCCAATCTCCATGGGTTCAACCTCTGCTCCATCTGAGTGAGAAACTTGGACAGGAACAGAAAGAGTCTGGTTTTTAGCCTTTGGCTTGGAAACGGGTTCTGTGGATCCAGAAAAAACAGAAGCATTATTTAATGCAGGGGCTGACACAGAAAAATTCAGACTTCTTTGTCTAGTGTTGCTTCTAGTTCGGAGCCTGTTATCCAATCTGATGGTTAAACGAATTAAATCCTCCAAACTAGTTGGTTCGTCGATCGTGGCAAGTTCATCCTTGATGTTATCATTTAGGGCCTTAAAATAAGCACTTTTAAGTGCACATTCGTTCCATCCAGAGGCTGCGGCTTTGACCCGGAAGTCGATGGAAAACTCAGCCACTGTGGAATTTCCCTGTCTTAAATTCAGCAGGGCTCGGGAGTCAATAGTTTTATCAGAGTCATGGTTAAAAACTTGGGAAAACTCTGAAATAAACTCGGAAAAAGTACAAGTGAAACTGGATTCAGAGGAGAACCTTGCCTCCGCCCATTCAAGGGCTCGTCCAGTGAGTTGAGAAAGAATGAATGATATTTTCTTTCTATCATTCGGAAAACTGCCAGGAGAATGTTCAAAAAGTAATCGACATTGGAACAAAAATCCCTTACAATCTTTTTGGTTACCTGAGAATCTTTCAGGCGGACTGGGACGGAACTCAGGAAATGACGTCACTGCCGGTGACCTTGGAGGCGGAAGTGGATCCGAAACTGGACGTACCGCTGGCGTGGCGTTAGCATTACCCATGTGGCTGGCATATGTTTGAAGCATTTGATTCTGGTGTTCAATTTTAGTATGCAACTCACGGAGGGTATGCGCATGTCCAAGGATCTGAGCGTCCTGTTCCTCAAGCCTCCTACGGAAGTGATCTGCTGGGCTTTGTGTTTGGCCGCAGTGTTCTGTCATGATGGGTTTAAGGTTCTTAGCCCACATGCAGAACACAACGGAGGCTGGGTAAAAGTTTTACAGAGTTTATTGAAAGTTTCACAAAACACAAGATAATGTACTGGGTCAGGAACTGGTCCGGGCTGGTTCACTGAAGTCTGCAGAGATGATAGTTTGATTAGAAGGCAGGCAGATGAGTTAAGAGTCTTTGATAATTCAGGATTCTACCTTGACTGAGTCCGGGCTTCTCTTTGAGAGAGAGAGGGAACCGTTGGGTCCAGAGACTGTTTGTTCAGCAGAGTTCAAGAGCAGCTGCAGCGTCTAGCTTCTGACTTTGAATGGCAGACCTTGATCAGAGTTTCCAGCTCTTCACTAAGAGCAGCAGGGGAATCCACATAGTAATCTTCAGGTTGGCTCACCAGGGCAGATTTGGCAGGTTAAGCTCATCCAGAGCTTCAGGCTAGAGACAGGTTTCCTGTGAGGCAAAAACAGAGGAGAGTTAGAATCTGATCTCTCTCAAGAGACAACTAAGATTCTTCAGTTTCAAGGCTCAGGTTGCTAACCAAACTAAGGTCAACACTGCGGCGCCGAAGCAAGGTCTGGCAGCTGGTTATAAAGGAGAGGTCTCCTGATGAGTAGATGCGTCTCAGGTGTGCTGGAAGACTCCAGCTCCAGGAGACCCACGGCGCACTCTGCTGGAGGAAGGTGGTACAGCTCCAGATCCCAACAACTTCTAAAAAAAAATCTCATATTTAGCAAACATGGCTTCTGTATGTGCTGTATTTGCTTGAAATAAACCATTATATTTTGCAGGGTTTAGTTTAGAGAGGTTAGTATGGAGTCACTATTGTCTGCATTCTGCCGTCAACCCATCTTTGAGGTCTATGATACAGAGATGACAAATATTAACAGTGAATACACTTAATAAAAAAGTAAAATAAAGACACTTTAAATATATGTTTGAATATTTTTGAATAAGCTAAATTTCCCTGTGCTCAAGCACAGTTTAAATGTAAATAGATGTAAATAACTCACCTCACACGGACTGATTTGTAAGCCAGGGAAGTGTAAACTTGTCATATACCAGCTCAGACATTCATCTAAAACTTAGATTGACAATACTGACATGTATTGGGTATAATGTAGTAGATTCCTGGGTTCACAGTCTGGTGAGGATTCAAAATGGAGGGATACATTTTTTTTGCGTTTGTCCAAAATTTCTCTAAATCCCCTTAGACTGATTAGTTATTATGTTGAACCTAATTTCTCCCTTACCTTCTACCTTGGTATAACCACTCCATATGTTTGATGTTGTAACTTAGTCTGGGTTAATACTCTTTCTACTACACTGTATAAAATGTCGGTTACTCATAAACCCTGTCTGCACCTTTGAATTTATAACCTTCAAATACTCAAAATTCACAATAGAAAGACGTATACATTTTCTTTTTGTATATATACAGTTTTATTACAGGGAAATAACTCCTGCTCATTAAGGAAGAGCTATTTTAAAACAAGCTCTTAGGCCCATAAATATTTAACAAGCTGAGTTTAAAATCTACATGCTACTTCATATTTCACTTTAAGGGATCAACTTTCATCCCATTATGGGGTTGAGAATGATAGAGTTATAGAGTACATTTGGTCTTGGATTCTTTTCAATCTGCTGCAGCTCGTGACTGGAACGCAAAATATTCTTAAACTGGATAGAATAATTTTAATTTCTTCATTCAAAACATTTATATATCATCCTTGTTCACAGACACTTGCAGCTGCTTCTGTAGATAGTCAATGTTGGGTTGTCTGTTGCGTTTTAAATTGTGTTTTATGTATGTATTACAAATGTATTGTATTTATTTTAGCCCTACTTTCCTTTACCTAAGTGGTTACTCCACTTATCAGGCCACCATTGTAAATAAGAACTTGTTTTTAATGACTTTCCCGTAAAAATAAAGGTATAAAATAAAAATAAAAACTTTTAAAAGTTAAAATGAGTCTGAAATGTCACTTTGTTTCCAGCTAAAAAATTGGATTATTAATAGGATACCCCACCTACTCTTATTTATCTCATTATGTAACATTATAAGTATTCTATTTTTTTCATACAATTTTCATATTTTTTGTTCCTTATTTGTATGTTGTTTTATTCTTTGTATAATAGCGAGATCTACTGTTGTCTACTGGGCACCTCACAGGCCCAATGTCTCCTCCAGCACTGTCATTAATTATGATTGTTTATTTTATATATCATAACCCTGTTTAATAGGGAACTGAAAAAAGATAGTTAAATGAAAAAACGAAAAATGAGAAGCATTTTCAACCTCTCAACCTGAAATAAATGTTATATAAATAATTATTATTAGATTTTTATTATATATTATCATTTATATTTAATTATATTATTTTAATTTTACTTATTATTATATTATTATTATTATGTAATAATAATTGTATAATATATATATATTATAATATAATATTATATATACATTATATATTATATTAATATTATAATAACATTTATATTTCATTTATCATTATATATGATATTATTTATATATTATTATTTATTTTATATATATTATTTATTGTATATATAATTATTTACTTTTCACTCGTATTAATAATAATATTATTAGTAGAATTTTAGAACTGTAACTATACATTACATTACAAACATTGACAGTTCTACCGTTTAATATGAAGGATGCAATACTGCTAAGAACCAATGGGGGGCGTTAAACAAACACCGGGGTTCCTGCTTCCCGTTAGCTTCGTCAAAGCTGCAATATCCGAGCCCTGACATTGCGAGGATGGAGGCTGTTATGGTTTAGATCGGGCTTCGCTGAAAGCACACACAGTAAGTATTAAAGACATTTCCTGACAAGCTACCAAGCCGGTCCAGTTAAAACAAAAAGAACAACTTATTCAGTGAGCGAGCGTTAGCGTCTTTGCAAAGTTAGCTAGCAGAAGCGACAGCAAAGCTAATTTTAACGAAGAGGCTAACGCAGCAAACATTATCAGTGCTAGCTTCGGATAACTACAACGTAGTTTCAAATAGGTGTTACGTTTGCAACAACAAATACTGCATCTGACAAGTGAACGCTTAGTTCACATGCCAGGAAAATGGCATTGTTACATATAAGCAAAGCGAGCGCTGTTTGCTGCTAATAGCATCTGTAAGATGATGATGATGATGTTTTGATGCTAGCTAAGGCTAACCAGCTGCTCAGTTCAAGATCCGTTTCCTGGTTGTTATTCCTCGATTTGCCAAAGTTTCTGGGTTTGGACACGAATCATTTGGTTAGTTCTGCACTTTAAAAGGGTAAACATAGTCTCTGGGTTTAAAATATGTAATAAGTTTGTTTGTGATAAGTTAGAAGGATGTAAAAAGTATTAAGCATCCGGGCTGTCTGGTGGATAATCTTTACAGTGAATGGGTTGCTTGTATGAGTGGTGATAGTTTTAAATACATTAGTGTTGCTTAGATTTGCATTTGTTCAAGGCGTGCCCTACGGTTTCATCATATATTAAGTTTTGATCCTGCATGTTTGCATCAGACTCCAGTTTTGCTCCATCCTTTTGCTTAAACTCCTTAAAGTGAACATGATTGTTTCTTTTTAAGGAAAATATGACAAAATCTAAGGAAAATGTTCAAACAGCTGGTGCATCTATGCTGAATTAATGCAAAATAATAATATTAAACAGTGACTTTGTAAAGTTGAGCTGCCTGATCTGTGTTTGCAGGTGGGAGGCAGGAGGTGTGAGCGAAAAAGCCCCAGACACCAGCAGCATGTACTCCGAGTGGCGCTCCCTGCAGCTGGTGGTACAGAGCGACCAGGGTCACCTCAGTGTTCTGCACACCTACCCTCCCAATGTTGGTACAGAGGTGGCAAACGCAGTGGTCAAGCCTTTGGGCACAGCCGTTAGCCCTGTGGCCACAGAAAACATCCTTAAAACGGACAAAGAGGTGAGAAAGTTTGCAGGCAAGATGGAACATTTGTAAATCTTTTAAACTCTCCTTCATATCTGTTTTTACTGGTCAGTGGGTGGGACATCCCTAAAACCTGACTGAATTATTCAAAATTGGGCAAACTGCGCTTTTGTGTAAAGCACACAATTAAATTTTTTATACTAGACAAGCAGTTTGTTTACATGAAAGTCTGTATGATTCATAACTTATTTTCAGACAGTGGTTGATCACCTGGGCTGGTGGTTGGGAAATACAAAAACCGGAAGCTTCTCCTTCCTAAATCTGTAAACATGTAATCTTTATGACCTTTGATCTGTTTTTTTTTTTAGGAGTAAAGTAAAAATCAGATGTACGATTCAGAATAGGGAGTAAATCTCTAATCCCTTCATTTTCTTACACTTACCTACTTCAGTGATTATATTCCAGCAAGCCAAACCAAGTTTGCAAATTAAAATTGTCCAAATTCAGATAATTAGATCTTTAAAGAAACTGTAGATCCTAATAGACGTGCGAAAACCCGATCTGTTTATATTAAACTCCAGTATTTAAAATTATTGCAAGTTCTAAAGTGTTTCTGCAGCTTCTTCTATTTGAAGTTTGTTTACGAGTTTCTTTTTTTGGTGCTGTACTTCAATATTTTTAGAGCCACTTAGAGGAATAATGGTCATACTGAGATTAATATTATTTAAAAACAAGGTCCAACTCATTTCTGTTGTTAACCTTCATCTTCATTCTTACTGTAAAGTACTTGTTTGTAAATTGTTGGTATAATTTTAGCAAATTTATAAGTATTTCGGTGACAAACAGCAGTACTTTGCTAAGCCTTGATTTTGCTCTGTCCATGAAAGGATGACGAGTTCTGTTTATATGTTGTTCATTCATCAGGGTCCTTTTAAAATGCAGTTTGTTTTCTCTAGAAAAATTACCAAAGCCCCTTTAACTCTTTTTCATATCTCAGAAAAAACCCTGAGATATGAGTATATGAGTAAAAAAAAACTTTTTACTCATGACTGGAAAAACTCCTGTTTCCCAGGTGAAATGGACCATGGAAGTGCTTTGTTACGGACTGACCCTTCCCTTAGAGGGGGACACCGTCAAGCTGTGTGTGGACGTGTACACGGACTGGATGATGGCCCTGGTGTCTCCCAGGGACTCGATGCCGCAGCCTGTGGTGAAGGAGCCCAATATGTACGTCCAGACCATCCTCCGACATCTATACAACGTATTTGTGCCAAGGTGTGTGAGAAACTTTTCAGATCAGCCTAAATGCTCCTTTTTTCTCATCACCGTATTTGGTTCCTGCTGCTTTTGGTTGCACTATTCTGCTTTTCCAAACCGTTTTTTGGATGTTTGCTGAGACGTTTTGTGTTTGTGTGCCTGCAGGCGTGAACAGCACAGTCTGAACCACATCAGGCTTTGCCAGCAGGTTCTCACTGCGGTCCAGAAGCTGGCACGAGAATCTGTATCCATGGTGAGGGAAACCTGGGAGGTGCTGCTGCTCTTCCTGCTGCGCATCAACGACACTCTGCTCGCTCCACCGTCGGTTGGCGGTAAGCCAGACTCTAAAGCGTTTATTCATTCGTTCCTCATCAGCTGCTCGGACTAACCTATCATTACTTCTCTTTTCAGTGGGGGTAGCAGAGAAGCTAGCAGAGAAGCTGATGGCTGTGCTGTTTGAGGTGTGGCTGCTGGCATGCGCCCGCTGCTTCCCCACGCCGCCATATTGGAAGACTGCGCGGGAAATGCTGTCCAATTGGAGACACCATCCTCCTGTGGTGGAGCAGTGGAGCAGAGTAGCTTGTGCTCTGACTTCAAGGTAAGGCTGCTTCAGTCCAGTTTAATCTGTTCATTAGGATCAGGAAGGAGGCGAGCAACCAAAATAAAATAAAGTCGATAGTTTATCTGCTGTTATGATCTGTATCCTCTGGGGTCTATTTCCAGGTTGTTGCGGTTCACCCACGGACCGTCCTTCCCACCTTTTAAAGTTTCTGATGAAGACGCCAACCTGATCCCTGTAGAGATGGACAATGACTGCGTGGCACAGACGTGGTACCGCTTTCTCCACATGATCGGGTGCATATCCTCTCCTAAATGTAGTTTCATTTATCTGGGGGGAAAAAAACAGCAGTAATTGTTTTGCATATTTATCTGCTTCTGGTTTTTAAGGAGAAGTGGATCTCATCTGTCGCTCCTGTAGTTCCTGTAAAATGTTTAAACAATAAACACTGAATAGCTTGACTTTGTCTGATAAAGCCCAACTCTCTGTCATCTGCTGCTTTCTTCTTCATCCAGCCATCTTTCTCACTTCCTGTCTTTAATCAGAAGAGATAAACTTAATTTCCTATGTGGTCTGTTTCCAGAAACCCGGTGGACTTGAGCAACCCCGCCATAGTGAGCACCACCCCGAAGTTTCAAGAGCAGTTTCTGAACTCCAGCGGGATTCCCCATGAAGTAGTGTTGCATCCATGTTTGAAGCAGCTCCCGCAGATCTTCTTCAGGGCAATGAGGGGAATCAGCTGCTTGGTGGACGCATTCCTAGGTGAGGGGACGCAGAGACAAACGGCTCCCATGTGAGACCGGAGACCGAGCTGAAACCTAGGAAGCCCATGAATCTGTTAAAGATGAGATGTTGTAAAGAAACACGTTTCTTAAAGACTCTATACCATGCTTTTTAAAAAGTTATCCACAATCAATGTTAGACGTATATGTGATAATATATTGAAATTGTACCAAGTAATGAAATATTGGCTGTTTTTTTGGTGTTACTTTTTAAGACGTAAGAAAGATATTTGCCTTCAATGCGTCTGTGCCTCATGACTTGGCCCTAAGGTGGCTGCAGCCCGCAGTCAGGCTGATCAGGTTAGGCTCTTTTAGGAAGGCTGGGCAGAGTTCCAAGCATCTCGCAGCTGAAAATCACTGCAGCTTAGACCTCAGCTTAGAGAAAGTAGGCGTGTTGCTAGCTGGGCAGGCGTGGTCAAAGTAGGAGCTCTTTTAAGGAGCGGGGAATCACTTCTCTATGTAGAGAGAATAAGAAGCGGCTGCTGCTCAGAATTCACACAGATTACTCAGACATGCAACCATCAAACCAAACACCAGGGTTCCCATGACTTTGACAAAGCAAGAGATTTATAACACTGTAAAAATCTCAGAAAGTTGGTTTATGTATGATATAAACCCTTTATATTGGATCAATCTGATCTGAATTGAACTTTTTGGACTTATTAAATGTAGCGTTCAGTGATGCTGGTGAGAGTGACAGAAACAGCCTTGGCGTTTCTGTGTGTAAAGGACTGGGCTCCATTATCACATTGTTGAAATTACATTAGCTTACTTTTTATATTTTATATAGTCAAACATGAGTTACTGTTTGTTTACCAGTAAAGTATTATTCTTTAAGGCTGCTGTTACAATTAACCCTTTATAGGGCACTCAGTAAAATACTTGGAAAATTAAAATTTTAAGCCAATAGTGTTATTGGACTACAAGACAAGAACTTATTACCTTTGTAGCATTAAAAAAATATGTATATTTTGATTGAAGAAATGAATCTCAATGTAATAACAAGAAACGGCAACTTGCCCGAATATATTAAGAAAAATAACAAAAGTGCTTCTATGAGAAATTCATGGAAAACTCTTGTTACAACATAACCTTAGAGGCATTAATGCTGATACTAGAACTGACATTTTTTTAGTTTATAAACCAAAATAAAATTAACTTTTTAACTTTTCAATTTGCTTTTTACCTTTTTTATTGACTTAACTTTTTTCCAACGTAATTTCCAGTAGGTAATATATCATTCAAGGGCTCATCTAATTGGTCAAATGCCAAAATAAGATGTACAGCCATGTAGCAGCATCTTTGCTGAATGACTGGATATAGATATTGTGCTTCTAGACCTCACTGAGGGACGGGGGGACTCCATTTGTAAGGGGTATGCAAGTGATCAAAAATGTTAACTTGCCCTATAAATGGTTAATAACATATTTTCTTGTTACAGCTTATATCTTCTGTTATGTTGAACAGAAAACTTGTTTTCTTAAATAAAACAAATGTGTTAGATCCAGGCATTATGGGATGATGATGAAGGTGCTTTAGAGGAAAGATCAAAAACCTAAAGCTATAGTGGAGGATGTTCTTTTTCCTGGTGGATCTTCAAAATAAGTGGTCCTCCTAATTTTCAATCATTCTACACAAGTGGAGAGGGCGCTTCTTATCAAAAAATTCGCAAAAATCCTCCACTATACCTTGAAATCATTTCCATCATGAAAGGAAATCATAACATTAACTTTTATTTGTCTGCTTCTCTCATTATTTTTGCATGAACTAAGAAAATGCAGATGGGTTCATTATCCACCTCATTCGAGGAGAAACATGTCAGCATGTATTTTTCTCTTTATACTGTAGGTGTTTCTGTTGAAAAGAGAGACGTACGCGAGAGGGCGTTCTCTTTTTGTCCCGTGCTGCTCTCTCATGGTACACACATCAGCTGATGCCTTATTTTACAAAAAAAACATGGAAATGTGTTTATTTTTATTTATTTTTTTTATTTTTGTGGTGATTATGTTAAAGATCCAGTGTGTAGCTCGTAGTGAATAAATTAAAGGAAAAATACCTTCAAATGTTCCCTGTGCAGAAAATAATCAAGCTGCTCTGGAGTTTGATTATTGGGCTGCTGTAGGATAAAAAAAAAGTGATTGGAATATTTTGTTTGTAAAAGAAAATATCTTCATGTTTTCTACTCATTAAAAGATCATTTTTAAGTTAATTTGGTCTCAATGTTGCACACTGGAACTTTAAGAACTATAGGTATTGCTTCTAAGAAAACAGTAGCTCACCAATTTTTGACTAAACTCCGTGATCATCAACAGGGGACTCCTGCAGCCTTAAAGAGCCAATCAACAGCAGTACTTTTCCAATCTTGGTGATTCACATCTAACCGTTCTAATGCATGTCTGCCAATGAAGACAGGCTTTGATTAGCTCTCTCATCCAAAATCATCAACTCTTTCTCCATCTTTTTCTGAGACGCTGATTTGAGATTGAATGTGTTTTTCTTCTATGGTGACGTTACCCTTTTGTCTGCAGGCATATCACGACCTCGGGCTGACAGTGCCCCGCCCACCCCAGTGAACAGATTGAGTATGTCTCCGCCCCCATCCGTTGCCAACACTACGCCCCCACACAGCCGCAAACAGCGACACGCTGCGGTTGTGAAAACTGCGAGCAAGAGCTCAACCGTAAGTCTAAATTTTGATCGTTTTAGGGTGTTGTTGGTGTTTTTTTTTTTTTTTTTCCTCTTGTATCGGTGCTGGCCGATTCATTAGTGTATTCATCAGCCATGCTGTGGGGTAATGCGAAGTGCATCCGTCATCACTTCCCCTACCTTTTCTACGGAAGTAAATTGGTGACCTAAAGTTTGTTTTAGAAAAAAATGTTAATCTAAACAATGTTTTTGAAACTCAAAGAAAAAAAATTAAGGAAAAAATAAATAAATGAAAGCAATCACAAAAACACAAATTATAGATTTTTGAACAACAGCAACATGCTGGGACAGCATGCTGGGACAGCTGTCAATCTCGAGAACATATAAGTCTGCTCTGATGCATGCTGGGTAAATAGGGAGGGGCGAGAACAACATCCAGGGACTTTGTCCTTTTTTGGTCTTGTTGTCTTGTGAATTGGAACCGTACTAGGGCTGAGGCTGATGATGTTTCACGAGCACATGAGAACACACACATATTGAGAAACGGCCTTAGTCATCATACTAGGGATGTAAATCACACCCATCATGGCGATTCGATTCAGTATCGATTTCCTGACCCAACGATTCGATTATTTTTGATACTCAAGAATACACCACGATACGATTCGATTAATGTTTTTTTTTTTTGAGTTATGTACTGTAACCCAGATCTGATTTATAGAACAGGAAACAATTAGTGCCAGCAATGTGAAAAAGAGCGCTTTAGGTTTAGTTTTTATCAAGTTCTACTTTATTCTTGGTTTCTTTATTTCTTCTTTATGCCTTAACAGATAAGTGCTTTTTTTTTTTTTTTTACACGCAACAATAAACTGAACTAGAAATAAACAAGACACTAAAAGCTTAAAATAGCTACGTTAAAACTGACAGATTAACCAAAACGGATGTATAAAATCAGCAGCAGGACAATGTCTGCCTTCAGCGAGCTGCTGAATCATAGAATGCTATGGGAACGACTTTGTTTGTTTTGAAATTACCCGATCATGTGGGGATTTTAAGTTACAGGGATAGATTTTTATTTTAACAGAGCTTTAAAATCTGTTAGTTATTGTTCTTTTTTTCCTCTAAATAAACACTCACATTTAATTTAAAAGTTAATAAATGAAAAATCTTCTGATATAAAGTCAAGTCTTAAATCTATACTTGATCCACTGTACATTTGTGTGTATATAAGAACATATGATGGGGGTGTATTAGGTAGAGATGTCCCGATCCAGGTTTTTGCACTTCCGATCCGATACCGATATTGTTTTTGGACTTCCGATCCGATACCGATACTGGCCGATACCAGCCTATCCGAGCATGTATTTAAGTTTAAGTTAAAGTATTTAGCCTTAGTTGTAAGACTCATGTTGAAAAGGGTTTTAGTACTCTTGATAACATCTAGCCAGCTGAATTAGGTGAGATTGAATAAAACACAATGCTTGGTAACAACAAACTTACCTGTTTATTAAGAGATAAAAACAAACTGGACAAAATTCTGAATAGCAATCTGAAATTGCACAGTGAACAGTAAAACCGTAAACAGTTAAAGGTGCAAGTATTACTGTAATGTGCCCGGCTTTTCACAGGTTTGCCTGCTGTGTCTAAAAGTAGCAGCAGCAGCAACCCAGACTGACAGCAGCTCATTGGATTTTTTGTATCACGTGCAGCCTGGTCCTGGAAGCTCTGCAGAGCTTTACCATATTAAGAGGAGAAGCGATCAAGTGGAGTTAGACACTGCCGTCAGACAACATGCAGCAATGTATAAATGTTTTAAATCAAGTTGGGTCCAGATTAGCCAGCAGGTGGGTCTAGATCCAGACCGCGGTCCGCTAATCCATGACCTCTGCTGTAGATGGACAGTCAAGTCTTGCCTGGAGGAGGTCTTTGGAAAGGTTGTTTGGTTTCTCAAGTATAAAGATCAGAGCATTCCTCACTGCATTAAACTGCATACACCACTCCACTCATCTTAGGTCTGGGGGGGTCTAGTCTTTAGGATGCACTAGCCTCTGTCTAAGGGTCACGTTTGATTTGAAATTTTCTGGGATATTGTGTTTGGAGAAAATCAAAGTTAGCAAATGTTACTGACTTTCAAACTCAGACTGGAAATACTGCCAATATTTCCAGTCTGATCTTTGAACCCTGAGATGAAAGGAACCCAGCATTAGCAACCAACAGAAATGTTTTTCCTTGGCACGTCCTCCGCTGCACTTCTAATGAGTAGTTTCTATTTGAAGCAAAGGTCTATGGTATTTTATAGCTACTGGGTTACGCTGTGTTTATGAGCAGATTACAATTAATTTAACCTCGTTATTAATTTATTTACCTTGCAAGTAAATATTGAAAAAAAACGGATAACACCAATGGTGCATTAATTACAGTTTGAGACCTAATCAGATACTATATAAGGAAATGTTCACTGTGTAATCTAAGTTTTAATAAAAATGCAAAACAGGGAAACACTGGCGCAAAATAGTGGAATGGGTCGTTTCAATCGGAGAAACTGGAAAATACGGACCGGATTTTTTTTTTAAAACTGGATCGGCAGTCTGGATCGGCATTTTACATGCTTTGCCGATACGCATTTTTTTGCCAATATCGGCGTCCCGATCCGATCCACGTATCGGATCGGGACAAGCCTAGTATTAGGTTTTAAAAGCTGCTATAATGTTGGAGCAACGGTTCTCCTAAAATCTTAGTAGCTTTATCAGTTATTTCCAGCCTGACTTGGAACAAGCAGCTCATAAAATCTTCAATAAACGCTTCATTCTGCTGAGGATCTTCGCTAAGGGGAGGAATTTGCAGAGGGGTCAAAGATTAGTTCCCATTTGTTTTGCTTTATTGTGTTTGTTTGGGCTCTGAATATTTTCTCTTTTTCGATTTAATTAAAGCTACAGTGTGTAATAATTACAGGGATATACAGTCAGAAATGTAATATATTATACATAACTATGTTATTTATCATCTACGAGCTCAGCCTCTTAACCTTAATATTTGCGTTGCCTTAGAATTCTTTATTTATAATTACATAGGAGCGGGTCTCCCAGCCATGGAGGCAGACATCTTTGCGCTACGGCAGCGCAGAGCCAACAAACTAGCGATTGCGAGATCGCCCATTACGCTCGAAAGTAACTACGGCAAGTTGAGAGAGATGAACTGAAATCTATACTCTACACAGACTAATGAAATACTATCTGTAAAATTATCTATGTAAACAAACCTCATCACTTGAGAAGGTAGGTGATGTGGACGTCGTGGAAGACATTTTGTCCCGTAACGCTCGCTGTACTGTTGGGGGGGAGAAGCGGTGGGGGGGAGATGTTCATGTTGCTGCGGTCTGCAGTCTGGACGTTAGATGTCGCTGAAAATTACACACTGTAGCTTTAAGATTGTTTGGAAAATAAAAACTTGTTTCATCCAGTTTAAAATCACTTTTATTTTCCGTCATAATTCTGGATCACCTGAAAATGTGTCAATTTTATTTCACCAGAAGCTGGGTTAACAAGAGCCTTAATGGCTGGAAACATTTTACCCTTCAGGTTTATATCTGATTTGAAATCATATTTAATGTCAAATCAGTCTGGCTTAAACATGTATATAAATGTACTCTTTATCAGACCATATTGTCCCAAAAGTTTGAAAATTTGTGTATAACAAAAAAAAAATCCTGTTTTATATTCTGTAATGTAATTTCCCATTGGGAACCTACTAGCACCAAGTTGCTAACCGGCCACAATAAAACTTGCGAACCCTCCGCCACAACAATTCCGCCCCCTTGATAAACTGTAAATAAATAAATCAGTCTGGAGACTCTCCGTTAAAGAAAATTTGGAGCCGTTCACCAAACGAACGTCCAATCAGCGTTGGCTTTGAGGCGGGTTGAGGTGTGACGCAACGAGAAGCGCAACAGTTCAGTCTAAAGAACATGGCGGCTTCAGCCGATGAAACTAGCGTTAGCGTGGCTATCGAGCAAGTTTTATCGGAATTACAGAGTATTTCTTCACTGAAAGAAGAGCAAAACACTGCTCTGGAGGCTTTTCTCAGAGGAAAAGATGTTTTTGCTCTTCTCCCGACTGGTTTCGGCAAGAGTAGCCTGGCTTGTGGTTGGGTTTTCGTCGTCGGCCTGTTAGTACGTCATATGCTTCGTTGATCTGATTGGTTTATTTGGCCCGTCTATCACCAACATAGGCCAATCAGCTAACCAGTATTTCGCCCCTTCCCAAAATTACTTCAACGAAAGGTTTCCAGATGGATATGCGGAGCAAATCCATCTGGCGGTGTCAGGTTAAAAGTCGGGCACCACTCGGGAGAATTTGGAAATGCAAATGTTGGAACGGCCATTTTCCTACGACTTTAAGGTCTCCTTCTCTGCTCTCTCCCCTCCCTGCAGAGCAGCAGTAGTCAACCAGTCAAAGCATCCCAGCAGCAGCAGCCGTCGTCTTCCCCGACTCTGCTCTCCAGCCCCAATCAGAGCAGCTGGGAGGCGCGGCCTCTGCCGGCCCCGGCGCGGCCCAAGGTCAACAGCATCCTCAACCTGTTTGGCCAGTGGCTTTTCGATGCCGCTCTGGTCCACTGCAAACTCCACAGCGGCCTCAGCCGAGACCCCAGCATGACCGGTAAGCATGAAGCTGGGAGATGATGGGGAATCATTTGATGCATGTTAGAACCGTATCTGTGTTCTGTCGCTGTTCATTAGCGTGTGTTTTTATTTTGTTTTTCTGTGGTGTTCTGTTTTATGTAAGTTATTGGGATGTTTTTCCTTTTTTTTTTACCGTCTCTTAGAAACTTTGTACCTTTCTATGTGTGGAGGGCTTGGTTAGAAGTGGCCATGGATGAGATTTCCATCTGATCCTAACCCATTTGACAGCTAGCTTAACTTGGCTAAACCTAAACAAGTTGTAATTCCTTTATCTGTAAAATCCTCCTTGATAATTAGTAAATAATTTGGCTGATCATTGGTATCTTCTCTTTGCTGTAATGTCCTTCACGTGTCTAACATGTCTGATTATTGTCCAATACTTCCAGTGGGTCGAACGCAGCAAAAATACAATTCCTGCCTGATATGAATTGATCCCAAAATACCGGATCTGCTTTGATTTTTGTCTCTCTTCACTATTTCTGTTATCTTGCAGCCTCTTTTATCCAAATTCTCCTTTCTTATAAATCTTGTAAGTAGGAACGGCAGCTTCTTCTCCTCACTTGATTTGCGTTTCTTGACAAATCTTCCTGCTTTTCAGTTGAATTTCTCATGATCATTGCCATTACCACCATGGTTTTCATGACCCCACTCCTTCTCATATATATATATATTTATACGTGTATAAAACGAGCACCAGAGTTCGTTCAGCGCTTTACCAGAGGTGATGAAATGGATTTCACCAACTGACCATTTGTCTCAACCATAATATTGCCAGTTCTTTGACAATGCCACCCCCCCTCCCTCCCATTTCAGTTGTTTTATTTTCTTTGAGTCATGCTAATCTGTATTATTATCTTCCGGATCTCCCCCCCACTTTAACTTGTGCATTAATGTTTGGTTTTGCGTAATTCTTATTTTATTTGTTGTGTTCTCAGTTTACTTGCGTTGTGATTTTTAATTTCTGTTTTTTTCCGATGCCTCGGTGCATGAAGTGAATGATCTGTTCTTGAGGTGACTGCCATGTAACTGCAACATCATGAAAGCTGACACAGGGATTTTGCTCTGCCATTACGTTACCCGATGACTCAGTTAAGCACGATAAATATTTACGCTAAACATTTGTAACATCCATAGGTGAGGCATGTATTGCAAACTCTTTGTGTCAGATTTTCCTATTTGAATGCTTTTAAAGGTTTGTTTGGAGTCAATATATTCTGATTTTCTTCTCTTATCTGGATGAATATCTGCTTTTTGTTGCTTTATGTATTAAATGTCTACGGATTGCTTCTTATATTCACCTGTCGTAGATATGTTTGTGTTTACCCGTGTCTAATAGCTGCATGCTTAAGAATGACCACATCGGTCCTCTCATTCCTTCTCTTCCTGCTCGCTGCAGCAATAGCCACTCAGATGGGTTTGGAGCTGAGGAGGAAGGGTTCCCAAATGTCCACTGACTCTATGGTGCCCAACCCCCTCTTTGATATCAACGAGTTCCCCGAGAGCTACGAGTCGGGAAGAGCCGAAGCCTGCGGGACTCTCTGTCGCATCTTCTGTAGCAAAAAAACTGGAGAGGATATTCTTCCTGTTTACCTCTCGAGGTACGAACAAAGACTTTCAGATGGTAAACATGGTGTGTTGCTCTGCAGCCTTCAAAAGTCTGGGAGGTTGAGTTTTCTTGAATGTTTGGTTTATTTGGATAATTATATAAAAGCATAAAATTATGTTGAAAAGATTTATAGTTCCATCTTTTATTCTCCTTCTTCCATTACCTAAAGGGCAATAATCTAAAGCATAATGATGCATATATTGATTATTAAATCAAAATAGGTCTGTTTTACTTTAAAACTTTAGGTTTCAATTTAACCAATTGTGTGGTTTAAAGAGCTAAAGTGAAACTTTTTCTTTAATTTTTACCAGCAAACAGCCAAAAAAACACCTTAAATTGGCTCCTTTTAGACTCTGATTCTCCAGTCCCTCTTTAAAAGTCCTTACAGCTGCATATGTGTCTGATTTAGTATAAAATAAAGTAAAAAAAACAGACGAGATGTCCAAAAAGCTTTGCTCTGGTTGTATATCAGGTGTTATCTATAACCAGTGGAATAAGTCTGTTCCTCGTCTCTCTGCAGGTTCTACATGGTTCTGATCCAGGGTTTGCAGATCTCTGATTTCATCTGTAGACCAGTTCTGGCTTCTATCATTCTTAACTCTTCGTCTCTTTTCTGCACCGACCTGAAGGGCATCAATGTTGTGGTGCCTTACTTCATCGCTGCTCTGGAGACTATTGTTCCAGACAGGTGAGACGTCTTCAACCGTCTTTATGTTGCTGTTTATCCCTACCGCATGTTACTGATCATGTTTTTTCTTTTCTCTCTGATCCCTGCTTTATTTGTTAGGGAACTGTCGAAATTCAAGATTTATGTAAATCCTACAGACTTGAGGAGAGCTTCCATTAATATCCTGCTCGCCATGCTGCCTCTGCCTCACCACTTTGGAAACATCAAATCAGAGGTAACAATCCACAGAATCAACTCTCTTTTCTCTCTTTGAGTTTTTGTTTGTCATAAAGTGTCAAGTATGTGCTGAAATGTTTTTCATTCCATGCATCATTCTTTTGTAAATGAAGCATTTATTCATGTGCAAAAAAAAAAAAAAAGTTAATGATATTAAATTGTTTTGTTACAAATGTCCCCAAAGCTCAGCTGCGCTTCTGACCTGCAACCTTTTTATGCGTATCTGCTTCAACACACCTGGATTAAATTGGCTGAATTCCCTCATCAGTTATAAATCGTTCAGCTTAGGCCTTTTATTCAGGCTTAACGAAGACTTAAGGGGGGATGCCGTTTTTTTTGCACTGGCCCCTTGATTTTACGTTATTACATCATGTTCTACTCACCCATGTGAGTTTTGTGTCATTTGGAGCTTCTTCTGAAGATATTTGGTTAGGTTATATCCAAGTAACGTCTTCTTATGGGCAACAACTTGAAGGCACAAACTAAACTGTTCTTGATTTATTCTTTATGGTACGCCAGCATTCATAACATGTAGGCGAATCACTGTCCCCCAGACATCCACAGTTATATTTGTTAAATTTCTATTTTTTTTAAAACAAAGCGGAGTGTGTATGACATCATCCGCACGCCGGACTGGAGATGTGACAGGCGGCCCGGGCCCCAGGCGGCTACGCTCTACCCCTTCTATTCATTCGGCTAGCTAATCTGCATCATTCAATTTCATTTCGAGAGCGAGATCATCTGTGGTAGCAGCACTAGACATCTTCCAGGCATGTGAGTAAAACTAGCAGCAGTTCAGCGGAAAGGATGAAGGAATGGTAGCCAGCGCACGGATGACGTCGTACACACTCCGCTTTGTTTTAAAAATATATAAATATAAAAAATATAACCGCAGATGTCTGGGGGACAGTGATTCGCTGGCGTACCATAAAGAATAAATTATGAACAGTTCAATTTGTGCCTTCAAGTTGTTGCCCATAGGAAGACGTTACTTGGATATAACCTAATGGAATATCTTCAGAACAGCTCCAAAGGACACAAAACTCATATGGGTGAGTAGAACATAATTTAATTTACATGTAATGTAAAATCAAGGGACCAATGTAAAAAAAAAAACGGCGTTCCCCTTTGAGGGCTGGTTACAGTGAGCTTGTTGCAGATATTTTTGCCCAAAATTGAGGTGTGGTCTGTACTATATTATCCCACGCCACAACGCAAGAGGAACAATCACGAAATAGCTGTGGGCCTAAAGGGGGTGAGAAAGTGGAGGCAAGTTTGTGCAACAACGGAGGGACATAAGGGCGAAAAAGAGAGGGGATCCTGGTGGAAAAAGGGTCCATCTTCATGAGTCATTTTCCACAATGGCGGTCATACAAATAAAACAAGCCAGTAAGATACCAAACAGGAAATCTCCATAGTGTAGAGCGGATGTAGATTTGACCAATCAGAGGCCTCCTGTCTGCGGTCACCTACAATTTTGCAAAGGTGCACCAGAGTGTCTGCGGCAGGGCGGGTGCATATTTACATTTCAATGCGACACACGCAGACGCCCTGGTTTCTGAGTTTAAATCAGGCTTTACTCTGAAAGAAGAGACTTTAACTGTTTTACTTAAAGCTGTCAAGGCAAATCCACCCAAAAAGCCTCAATGAGCAAAAGAAAAAAACTGTTAAAACATCTTAAATTTTTTTTTTGTTTACACATTTTTAGGTTAGATGTGATCATAGCAACATCGCTCCCCCTTAATGGAAATACAAACCAGGGAAACCTAAGCTGTGACAAAATCAGGGTAGTTTTAATGGCTACCTGTTGAAGAACGTTGTTTCCTGATGCATTAAATGGGGGAAGCATTGAGGCAAAGACAACGGGAATCTTTTCTTTCTCACATCAAGTCAGTAAAGATTCTTAAAGGCAGCAACAGACAAATCAACATTAAAACCTGCAGTTTACACACGAAGAGGAGGAATAATAGAGGAGACAGTCATGTTGGTTCTGACAAAGTTGTGTCTAACACCTTTTATACTTATAAAGCCAGAGGAGTGAATGTAAAACATTAACTAAAGGAGGGTGAAAATAAGGCATGATTTTTATCACATGTATTATAGGTACGTAAATAAGCAAGAATTTGGTGTTGTATATTTATATTGTATCACGATACTTGTGTCATTATTCAACTTATGTCCTGATACATTAACAGAGATGATGAACTGGGATGTTTATAACAAAATTCTGGAAAACCTAAGATCCTGTTGCTCTGGCTGGTGGAGAGAAGGTGACTCATGACCTTTTGGGCTTTGTGCTGCCACCTAGTGGCTGCAAGTTTAGGAGTTATATCAAAGTAAGGCAATAAAATGGATGTTTGCCTATTTCTATTTATTTTTTTTTGCATCTAAAATCCGTTCAGTCGTATTTCAACTCAATATATTTATTAAATTGTTTTACTTTTATCTATTATACAATAAGGTTTTTTTAGCAATATTTAGAGCCTCTGACCTCACATTCTCTTTAATATATTTTATTACCACATGCATTCAAAACTGATTAAGCAAAGCAAGCTCTTTCCAGGTTAAACATAATCAAACTTTAATATGACCAAAAACTGAGACATGTTCATCACATGTTCATCTTCGTACAAACGACCTGTAGCTCCTGTTTACGGATGTTGAGCTGCTCGTTATTTAGATTTCTCCTTTTCACAAATCACAAGCTTGTCTATGTTTGCTCGTTAGAGCTTGCTTGTCTAGATTCCATTGATGCAGGACTTTAACCTTTGTGTTGAAAAAGTGCTATGCTCTAACTGAATGTATGGCTCTATCCTCTAGCTGCAACTCTTTCTCCATTTCTGTGTGGCGGCAAACCCACTTTAAGTGTATCATGGCTACCTAAAAGGTGGAGTGATACATTTAGTGTCTCACTCTTGTTTAATGTAACCAAAACTGACTGTCTCTGCGATTTAAAAATGTTTTTTTGTTTTGTTTTCCCCCCCACTTCATAATTCTCTGCAAGAGCCCAGAACATGCAATGAGAACAAGGTGCAGCAACAGAATGGTGTCATTTATATCTTGGCATTACTTCTTTCTCCTTTCAAAAACAGAAGTCTTGTTCTTAAATCTTTTATTTCTATCACTTTTTAAATTTGATAGAGATTTAAAGAATCTCTTTCTTTCACCTTTTTATCAGTCTGTCAGGACTGCTTCCGTTTTCTGTTCTTTGCTTTTCTTGTTTGCCTTAAGGACAAAAACTAACCGCCTGGATCCACATTCGTAGGTCGGTATGTCCCAGTCTGGGTTAGGATTGTTAACCAAAACTAATGAAAAAACAAATGCCGAAATGGTAAGAAGTACATAAATAAATAGATAAATAAGTAAAAAGTCTTATTAAAAGGGAAGACTATAATTTACTGAAACTGTAAACTGAAAAATCCCCTGTTTTTTATGTTGAAAAAAAAAAAATTTATCACAGGACTCACTTGATCAGCTGTAATTAATATCTTGTGTCAAAATAATATCTTGTGTCAAGATTTGCAAAAGTTCCTAATACAATACTTTATGCCTTAAAATGAACCAGAATATGTAAAAAAAAAAAAAAAAAAAAAAAAAAACTATTGTTCGAACAAATTTAAAATTGACTCAACAAACCTTTATTTAAATGGTTACATAAAAACTTGGAAACCCTAAAAAGTAACAATAGCTAACTAAATTAGGCAGAAATATCATTTAAACTAAATGAAATGAAACTATAATGAAAGATAATAAACTATCATAACCTTAATCCTAATCAGGATTCATTTCAAATCCCAGTCTAATGCTTCGTCAAAGTGAATAAAATCATTCTGAAATTAGATTAAAAAAGATGGGCTATTTTAATAAATACATATCACGAGAGCCCAAAGTTAAACAGACCAACAAGGAATGTAGCCGGTCTAAAACAGCTTTGTAAGACATGGAAGTGGAAACATTGGTTTAGAAATCAGATGCTTAGCATGCAGCTGCAGGTTTGTTTATGTATAATCAGAACAGATGAAAAGCAGGTATCATGAGTTGAATCTGGTCTGCTCTTGATACTGATCATTTTCAAAGCTCTTGATCAGTGTCAACATTTGGGATCAGATTAGAAAATCTACATTTGGGTTATAAGAATAAATTGACTGTGATCAATTGAAATGGATAAATAGAATCCATTGTGAATCACATCAGAATATCATGAAATCAGTATTTGTTTTCTTTCTTTTTCTCTGACGGAGATTGTTGTTCTTCATGTATCCTAAACAAAGGCTACCTGTGTCATTCTTCAGGTTCTGTTGGAGGGCAAGTTCAACGAAGAGGACGGGTGGCCCCATGACCAGCCCGTTTCCTTCCTTTCTCTGAGGCTGCGTCTGGTTAACGTCCTCATCGGAGCCCTGCAGACTGAGACGGATCCCACCAACACCCAGCTGATCCTCGGTATCTGCTCTGTCCTCCACCTCCCGGTTAACCTAACCCACTTGCTTCTGTCTGTGTTTTATTGGCTCTTTTCCTCCTCCTCAGGTGCAATGCTAAACATAGTTCAGGACTCGGCGTTGTTGGAGGCTATTGGAGCACAGACGGAAACGGTAAAGCTCAGCTCACCCGCCGTCTCTGCATTGATTGGTCTGTAAGGTTTGCCACACCCAGTCCAAAAATCACAATGGCTGTCGAACCCATTTTCAGGGCAGCATCGATGGAAGCCACGCCACGCTGAGAAGTCAGAGTCACAGTCGCACCAACAGCGGCATCAGCTATAACAGCGGAGGGAGCACAGACGCCACTAGCCCAGACTGTGAGCGTCCCGCGCAGGCGCTGCTCAGAGACTATGGTGAGACATGCAGCCTCTCCACGATCGGTGAATCTACAGTCAATGCTGCTCTCATCAGATGAAGCTGAAAGCTGGAAGCAGCAAACTAACTTGTTGGTTGTTTGTAGCTAACGTGGTTAAAGTGGTGTGCAGAGTTAAGAGGCGCTGGGTAAAATGTCTTTGTAGGTGATTCATCCGTTTGCTGTGATGCTGCTTTATAACAGTTTGAGGTGTCCTGCAGTTTGCTCAATGTTTTCTTGCACTATTTCGATGTAGAATTGGTAAATTTTACCGATAATCTAAAGTCATTTCAAATGTGGTAGCAGTTCTGCTCCTGTGTGTATTTGACACCTGTTCTTTAGTTTCCTCTTATACTGAATGCTATGCAGTTCCTGATGCATGACGTTTCTAACAGTTGTACTAAAAGGGGACCCTGAGTGTTCCTCCTGTCCTTTCATCTGAGCGGTGTGGCTTTAACCCTGCATTGTTTTGTCCTGTTTCTCGCGGTGTTTGGTATTTCGGGGTGTTATATGGTTTAGCTCTTCCAGATACGGCGGCAGGCCTGCTGGTGCGCAGCATCCACCTGGTCACACAGAGGCTCAATTCTCAGTGGAGACAAGACATGAGCATCTCACTTGCTGCCCTGGAGCTGCTAGCGGGGCTTGCAAAGGTAAACACACTGCAGACAAGCAGAAGCTTTTAATACTGGACTATAAATAGGATGAACTTTTAGAGAGTAATCCATGGTTCACTAAATGACATGACGCAGAAGCCTTTTTTTTTTATTTAAGCTTGCCAACTTAAATAAACACATGAACAGTTAGCAATTTGGGAACGGAGGAAAAAAATAAATGCTCCCTGGTTCATTAAGTCTACATAATGCCTTCAACAACATGAAGGCTTTTTCTTTTTTATCACAAACATAAACAACGACCTCTAAAATTGGAACTGTGTGCTTTAGTTTGAGGAAACTAAGATTGAACTTTTCAGCTAAAAAAAACAACCGAAAACATCCTGCTTGGTCTGCTGTGAAACAAGGGATAATACTGTGGAAAAGCTCATAATGTCAGACACCAGGTTAGAGGATGTGTGATGCTGTGGGCCCGTTTGAGAACCTATGTAGTAGAAGTCAACCAATCGGTTTAATCGATTATTGGAATGATCGTCAACTAATTTAGTAATCAATTAATCATCAACTGGAGTCTAGATTGTAAAATATGCCTTAAGCTGACAGAGCAACCCAATTAGAGCAGTACTTATACCAAAATTGTAAAATATATTAATATTTTGCAGTTAAGATAAACTTTTTGTCCATCAATATGCTCTACGCAGAACTCATTTAGTGGAAAAGTCTTAGTTCCACCTGGTTTGATTCTGTAAAAAACTTCTTTAAGGAACCTTTTCCTATCCCATTATTAATCATTTAATCAAAAATCTACAGATAGATTAACAAAACACTGTTTTTTCCAGATAGAGAGCATCTCACTATAAGCAGTGTCCACTAAAAAAAAAACAAAAAAAACGTATATAACACTTACATAAGCCGTTGACATTTTCTGAACTGTCTCCCACCAAACCTGTAGGGGGAGCTCTACATATAGCCCCTAGAGTAGAGATGAAGAAGAAGGCTAGCTCCTGTTAGCGTGTTAGCTCGCAGCAGTAAGAGCTTCTATTGAAAGACGGAGCTTCATCAGCTCTTTATTTCAGCTCTGAAGCCGTTGAGCTCTGTCTCTTCATTGGTTCAGCAGCTTTTAACGCAGCAAATAAATGTCAAAATGTTTTAATTTTAGGACATTTTCTCTCCATTGTGCCTGCTGCTAGTATGATCTTGTGCTAAATGAAGATTAGCCCCTTAATATTTCATTACCAACTTTGACCTCCCCCCTCTGGCGGTTGGGAAAAACCACAGAAAAGCTGCACCTTCTTGTGTTTTATTTTTATTTAAAGGTTTTCTGAATACTTTCAGCACCGACTCTGAACAGGATCTCACCTCATCATTAATGACATGATGAGATTATTAAAGCTATTGCAGTTTTAACCAGTTTAACTCTTGGTTTGATGATTCCAAAGTTAGAGGAGTCCACTGTCCCCCTCCAGGATGATAAACAACAACTGAATCCCCACAACTCATGAATATCTTTTTGTAACCTGATTTTTTTTTTTTTGGTAATAGGCTTCAATTTAAACAAGATATAATTTTAATGTCTTAAACTGGTTTGGAGAGACAGACCAAGGCTAAAATATTTAACTTCCAGTAAAATCTGCCATCACTCAGCCTAGCGCTGTTAAAATGGCTCCTGCTGATAAGGAGTTGGTCTAATTCACCAGGTCGCTTCCTGTCTCTGTCTCCTCAGGTAAAGGTGGGCGTGGATTCTGCAGACCGTAAACGTGCAGTCAGCTCCATCTGCGGCTACATTGTGTACCAGTGCAGCCGTCCGGCTCCTCTTCAGTCCAGAGACCTTCATTCCATGATCGTAGCTGCCTTCCAGTTTCTCTGCGTGTGGCTCACAGAGCACCCCGACATGTTGGATGAGAAGGTGCGTTCAGCGGCTAACGCTGAAGCTGATTTTTGAAACTTTACTGAATCTAGGAAAAAAAAAAAAAAGGAAAGCTTTGTTGGGGTGAAATCTGAGTTCCTTTTTATCTCCCAGGATTGTTTGATGGAGGTGTTGGAGATAGTGGAGCTGGGAATCTCTGGGAGTAAGTCTCGCCATGAACAGGAAGTGCGTCACAAAGCGGAGAAGGAGCACAATCCTGCTTCGATGAGGGTGAAGGATGCCGCTGAGGCCACTTTGTCATGGTGAGACTTTGACGGCACTCATATCGTTTAGTTTTTGTAGTTTGAGCTGATTATTTAGTCTATGATGATTCCAGCTGAGGAGCATTTCTGTTGTACTGTAAATAACTCAGACTATAGAACAGCTCCTCTCTTTGAGCTCTTTCTAAAAATACTTTAACTGACACTGTTTGAGTTTCTTTCCCTGTGTTTGTGTGCTCCCCTCCAGCATCATGCAGGTGTTGGGGGCCTTCCCTTCTCCCAGCGGACCCGCCTCCACCTGCAGCCTGCTGAATGAAGACACTCTGATTCGCTATGCCAGACTAAGTGCCACAGGAGCCAGTAATTTCCGATACTTCGTCCTGGACAACTCCGTGATTCTCGCGATGCTGGAGCAACCTCTTGGCAACGAGCAGAGTCAGTGTCGCAACATTTACCCTCTGCAGCAGTGTTTTTGTTAAAAAGTGATTAGGGCTGTTTCTCAATTCACACGAACGCCAGTACAGACTAGTGTTTTCGCCAAGTATGTTCTTGAGAAGAAAGTGTGGACTTGGGGAGAACAGGAGCATAAATATGGGTCAATTGGAACAGAAGCGTACTCGTGGCGTACCCACACACTCGGCTCGTCTTGAGCTGCTTTTCACCTCCTGTTTTTAATAGTCTCTAGATCATAATAAATTCTTATGTATCTTTATTTATTTATTGGGGGAATGATAATTAACACAGTCATATAAACACAAATCAAATGAACATTTTGACAAATAAAATAAAAAAAAGAGTCAGTGGTCCTTCACACACAGCTATGTCGAGAGAGGGCTGCTGCAGATGGGCTAACGTTAGCCCTCGCTGTGGTTAGCCTCGGAGGTCCACTGGTTGCCACGTTCCTCTGAACTTCGGAAATTTCTTTTAAAATTATGCATCAAATCAGTAATTGGGCCATATAGTGACGCCTAAAAGTATAATGTCTCGCCTCAAATATTCTTAAAACTACTTTCACTGAACAACGGCAACAGAAAAGAAGACTTTTAACTTCATACACTCACGTCTCCATTAAAAGCTGCTGCTGCTGCAGTGCATGCTGGGACAGCTGTCAATCTCAAGAACGGACAAGTCTGCCCTGATGCATGCTCAGTAAATAGGGAGGGGCAAGAACAACATCCGGGGACCTTGTCCGTTCTCGGCCTCATGTTCTTGTGAATTGGAACAGTACTAGGGCTGAGGCTGATGACGTTTCACGAGCACATGAGAACGCACAAGTACACATAGAGAAATGGCCTAGGTCTGTTTTCCTTAGACGGTGCGCTCTTAACGAATGGGTTTGTGACAACAGTAGAGACAGATCTGCATGTTATCCCCATGTACAGGTAGGCAACAGGAGCAAAGTTGCAGTAGTGAATCCACAGGCGGGATTTAGGTGATGGCTGCTGCTGGAAATCTGAACATTTGCAGCTCTTCATGTCACAACAACCATTCAGGTACTAGTGGGGTAAAAGAGCAAAGCAATGGCAGTTTTTCTATACAATTAGAATAAAAGATAGAGCTCCAGTGTTAATCCCGGGAAGCTGCCGCCTCTATCTTGCCTTTTCACTCTCTCTACCTGCTGGACTTCTTCCATCTCCTGCTGTTAACCCCTTGAACTCCAGCGCCGCTGACTCCGCCCGCTTTTGAAGCTCTCTCATCCAGGATTCTTGCTCTAATCTTCCGCTGCTCCTGTGTAAGCACCAGGACGCTGCCTCACTTTCCCTCTCTTGATTGGTCGTTCCTTCCCTCAAGTGGGATAGTTTGGAGTCTCGGTAAGCAGGACATACCGCTGAAAGGGACAGCCATCAAGACCCAGGTCCTGGAGGAGTGTCTGGTACTCTCCAAACTGGTTCAGGATCTGGTGAACCCGCAGACGGCGGTGGCTTTGTTCAGGTTTCCAAACTAAATAAAGCACAGAGACTCAGTCTGCTATGTTGTGGTGGAACCAACAAGCAGCAGATTCAATGACGCAGAATAATCTAAAACTGGTGATTTTTGTCGTAAGAATCGTGTTCAGGCGAAGCCAACATTAAACATGCACCTAGAATTTAACTGGAGATTAGAAATTATAGATTTGAGTTTTATTGGCCCCAATTGGATTCCAGCTGGATGAAAACTCTAAAATCCAACCTTTTCTTTCTTTGATAAACACACCATACAAACTAGAGGCTCAGTTTGTTGTAACTGCTGCTATCAAAAGGAGAAGAATCAACATTAGTTAAACTGTGTAAGCCGAGTACGTTTTTAAGAAAGTAATTTCTGATACAAATTTGCTTGTTAATCCTGTGGAAATGTAAAACTTAAGGTAAGAGTCCTTCTGTAGGAGGGAAAAGGAATAGACTGAGATTTGGTTATAACTGATCTAAGATGCTAAAGGGTGCTCAAAATATCACCTTTGTTATAATTTCCAATCAGTAAATCCCTGATTGAGGCCACCTTCTTCCTCTGTTTTAGTTATCATTTGGTTCTAATGTAAATATTTAATTATAACAACTGATAAAAGGAGGTTTAGAGGAAATATGTTTTAAATGCTGGTCACTTATGATTTAGTTGGTAAAGAGAAATTTGGTTAAATCTGTGTTGATGATATTAACAAATTCACATCATATGCCTTACAGGTGCACCTCAACTCACTGATTTAGCTGATTAAAACATTTCTGTGCCCCGCAGACCCCAGTCCGTCTGCGACGGTTTTGATCCGAGGAACAGCTGGTAGACATGCCTGGACAATGCAGCTCTTCCATCAACCACGAGGAGCTCGTGCCAATCAGAGGGTGAGGGGAAAATCTAAAACATCACATACAGAGAGTGAGAAATAGCTCTGTCGGCCATCACTGTCCTCACATCTTCAATCTGAATCCTGGCAGATGTTCGTCCCAGAGGGCCGACCTAAACCCAACAACGAGGTGGGCATCAAATACAATGTCAAGCAGAGGCCCTTTCCAGAGGAGGTGGATAAAATCCCTCTGGTCAAAGCTGATGTCAGCATCCCAGACCTGGATGATATCGTCAGTAAGGAGGTGAGTAACAGCTGGATCCCTGCTCTTTACGGTTTCATACAAATTCTACAGATCGAAGGAGATCTCTGGCTGCAATCCAGTCATTTGTTTTTATGTTGTTACTGTACAAACTCAGGTGGGTTGTTTGGGCTGGGAGGATGATTCAGCTGACACAAGCTCACTGATGAGTGATTACGTGAGTTGTTGAAGAGAAACTAAATTCACTTGGGTGTCTTTTTCAGAGAAGGGTGAAAACGGTTTGGTTGTGTGACTCGTATTTCTCTTTTTTTCTCATCCAGTTCTTCTTTAGCTTTCTCTAACATGTATATCCTTTGGGGATAATAGGAACTGTTTGATTAAAGAAAGCTTTACAAGACCTGGATGGATTGGTTTTAATACTTTCAGTTCCAGCTATTCTGTTATATTTTTGTTGTGCTTTCAGAGCACTGAGGGTATGAATGTCAGGGATGATGAAAGGTCTGAATGTATGAGTGTCCTGATGATTTGGGTCTTTTCTTATAATGCGTTCGAACTTTTCTTTTTCCATAGTCATATCCTTATGCAGCTTATAACTTCAGTGTTCAAGCATTTATTAGGTATTTTCTCTGATTCTAATGGCCAGAACTATGCATGCATGCTCAAATATCCAGAGTAACCGCAGTGAAGCTGCATGAGGAATATAAAGAATTTAAATTAGCGTGTGCGCTGCAAGATGAACTCCTTAATTTAATGTAGCAAGACAGTAAAACGTCCAGGTGAATTTCATAATAAAATCAACCGACCTATCTATACAAAGTTCTGTTGCAAAAGCAAAAAGTCCAAACAGAAACAGGAGGAGACGTACGGGCTATTGGAGGGTAAAAAAAAGGGGATATTTTTACAGGATATCCCAATCCAATATTGATATCAGGAATTGGTCCGATATCAACCAAAAAATGAATATCAGAATACATCGGCCTCCCTCTTAAATCTTGAACATTAGAAAATTCGCAGAAACACTTTGCGTCTGTCTACTTTGGTGAGTTAGTTATGGGTCAGTTGTTCTCATACATGATGTTTATATTGTTCTCCGTTTGTGAAATATTACTTGATCAAGCCTCTTATTTCTTTACTATACGTTGAGTGAAAAAAAATCTTTATGATTTATGCTGATGAAGCTGCAAAGTCGCCATTGTATTCAAAATAAAAAAAACTTTATCAGGATTTATTGATATTATGCGCTACAGATGATTTTAACTTTCTCCGGAGGAGCATTTTCTGGAGGCAGAGCTGCAGAAACAGATGGCAGCGCTCAGTGTGAGGGACTATTATCCAGCTGGCCTGCCCTGCAGCCGCACTGTATTCAGGCTATGGCTGCGACATTAAATTATTTTGCTAGTCCATTTACCATTTAGTCGATTAAACTGCCGATTTCTTTTTAAATTAATTGATTACTAATTGGATAGGAATAGGTTTAATAACGGAGGATTTTTTACAGAATCATACGAGGTAAAACTAAAACGTTTCTGCTTGAGGAGTTCGGAATAGGGAATATGGTTGGATAAAAAGTTTTTATCTTAAATGATATATATATATATATTTACAATTTTGGTATAATTACTGCTCTAAGTGGGTTTCTCTATCAGCTAAAAGCATGTTTTATAGTCTCTACACTCCAGTTAACAATTATTCGAATACTGAATTAGTTGACGATTATTTCAATAATCGATTAATCGTTTCAGCCCAAATTCAGTCAACGTTTAAAGGAGTCAGTATGAGGCTTTCTAAGCTGTGTCAGTGTAAACTGTTAACCTTGGTGTCGTGCTTTTAGGCCCTTTTGCTCCCAAAGGTATTGATGCATTGCAGAAAGTGGCTGAGGTATTAAAGAACAAAACTTTAAATTGATCAACTTGGACCTAGGTGGTTCTGGAGTAAATCAGGCTCGCATTTAATCTTTGACTATTCTACTCTAGCTATTCTGGGAAGGTGGTTGGTAAAATATAAAGGCTGAATTATACCAGGAGTTTCATTCTGGAATCAAGGTGCATCAAGAGCTTTTGAAAATCCCCAATTTTTAACAGAATATTTTTCCAATTATTGTAAGGTTTCCTGTTAACTTTATGTCTGTCTTGGTTTTATCTTCTACTATCCAGCCCGTCCCGTCCATGTTCTGAACATCTCATCTTCTTTCTTTTAGTTGGAAATTCAGCATGACAAGCTTCGTAACCTGATGGCCAAGCAGATAGAGTATGAGAACACTTTGGAACGATGCAGTGAGGAACTGTTGAAGTCCAAGTCTTTTCCGGACCCTCAGATGGACTGCAAACCTCCCCCTCCCGCCCAGGAGTTCCAGACAGCTCGCCTCTTCCTCTCTCACTTTGGTTTTCTGTCTCTGGAAGCACTGAAAGTTCGTACCAACACAATTCCCTTCCTTTTTTTACGTCTCATGTGTTATATTTCATTTGAAGAGGCATAGAGGTGTAATTCAGAACGTGTTTGTTCATCATAGGAACCAAACAACAGTCGTCTACCTCCTCATCTGATTGGCCTGGACTCATCCCTGCCGGGGTTTTTCGATGACGTCAGCTACCTGGATCTGCTTCCCTGCCGACCGTTTGACACGGTCTTTATTTTCTATGTCCGGGCAGGACAGAAAAGCAGCTCTGAGGTGAGAAACTTTTATAGCGTACTCAGAAATGTCTAGTTTAAAATATTTTTGGTGTATCTGTGAAACTATTTGCTTTTATTATTGGATCAGATTTTGAGGAATGTGGAGTCCTCAGCTACCGTCCAGCCTCACTTCCTGGAGTTCCTGTTGTCTTTGGGCTGGCCTGTGGATGTGGGCCAGCATCCAGGATGGACGGGACACCTGGACACCAGCTGGTCCCTCAACTCCTGCTTCGACAGCACTGATCTACAAACAGGTAACCTTTGAGAGGGCAGCCTGCCGATAGTTTGCTGCTTTTGTGCTCGGTGTTAGCGCTGCTCTGCTAAATCAACGTGTTCGTTTTATCAGACGAAGCAGCTCCTCCTGAGGACACCGGAGGCTCCGTGTTCAACGGCGAAAAGAAAGTTTTGTACTACGCCGACGCGCTCACAGAGATTGCCTTTGTCGTTCCCTCTTTAACAGAAAACTCAGGTTTGTACTCAGTAGGTTGGATCAAACGTGACCCTGATGCAGCACTGAAATGGAATAGATATGAATCCTTTTACAAGTTTGTAGAAGTAAGAAAAAATCAAAGGTTTCTAAACTTTCCTGCAAAAAAATGTTTTTTAATGTAAAACGGCTCTGTCTTGCAGAGGAGTCGTCTGTGCACAGTGACTCCACGGTGGAGGCGAACCCCAACACAGACCTCATACCCGGAAAACAATCCACTCTCACACTGGAACTGTTCCCCAACCACTCTGAGAGCCTAGAGTCTGCTAAAAAGGTAGCTCAATACAACCTCTGCGTTTTTTCTTAATGCTATGCTTGTTTAAACCCTTTTCTGTTATCGTAGCTGAGTCCTTTGTTTAAGACAAAGAGGTCATCGACCGGAAAATCTTACCCTCAGCTGGGCCCTGAGACGAAGGTGTTTGTGGTCTGGGTGGAGCGCTTCGATGATATCGGTACGCACATGCTACATTTAATCAGAAAACTCAGGATAGGACTCCTATCTTTTTATAGTTTGGTTTCACTCACTATATTTTGCCATCCAGAATCTGAAAGGTGTTGTAAACAAACTTTAGCTAGGTGCCAAACCGAACTGTTGTTGATGTGTGTATCGGTTTTGTGTCTGCAGAGAACTTCCCGTTATCTGATCTCTTGGCGGAAACCAGCACAGGCTTGGAGGCCAGCATGAGCAACAGCACTTCCTGCAGGTATTCAGAGGTTACCACTGAAAGCGCTTAGCTGCTGCCACGCACAAACCGATCAGTCAAGAATTGGTTCAGCTCAGTTGCAGAAAGAAAAGAAGAAGAAGCTGTTTTGCAAAAAGCTACCGTGCAAAACAGGAAGTGTTGATATGTGTGTGCGAAGGTTGGAGGAAACAAAGAAGTGTGGCAGAGCTTTTTGTGCTGTGGTTCAAACAATCAGATCTGTTGTTTTAGTGAACTATAGTGTGGCCTTACTTTATGCATTATTAAAATAACTGGACGGCACCATTTTGGATCTTTTTTTCACGCAGGTTTTTATTCGTCAGCATGACTTTTGAAGAAGAGTGTTGAAAGAAAGGCTGCAAAGATAATTTAAACAAATGACGGATGTGAAATGTAAGCAGTTTAGAAAAAAAGAAAAGAAATAGTTTTTAAAACCTCGGGATTGCAGACTAAATTTGGAGCAGAAATGTTGTTTTGATGTGAAAAAAACACCCAAAAAGTCAAGTCAATATAAGGTGCTCTAGTATGCAAGTAGCACTCGGAACCTTTTGTCTGGGTTTCTTTTCACTTTGCTGCATGCAGTCTTTATGATGTCTCCTAAATGAGCTGTAATATATTGGTGTAAACTGGCTGAGATAAAGAGGCAGTAGGAACAAAAGGCAGAGGGATCAGGTATTAACAGAAAAGGAAGCAATGAAGTGGATCTTTCCGCTGAGATCAACTTTGTCCTCTATTCTTGTTTCAAGGGCGTTTGATTTCATGTAATGTTTCCTTATTTCATATCTTTAGGAAACCTTGTACTACAATATGCATCTTGGCAGACTGCAGTAGGATAGTTTCTGGTCTGTAAAGAAGGTTTTTTTTTTATTGAATAGAATTCTTAATCTGACTCTGTCAGATGGATTTGCTCCGCATATCCATCTGGAAACCTTCCGTTGAAGTAATTTTGGGAAGGGGCGAAAATACTGGTTAGCTGATTGGCCTATGTTGGTGATAGACGGGCCAAATAAACCAATCAGATCAACGAAGCATATGACGTACTAACAGACCGACGACGAAAACACAACCACAAGCCAGGCTACTCTTGCCGAAACCAGTCGGGAGCAGAGCAAAAACATCTTTTCCTCTGAGAAAAGCCTCCAGAGCAGTGTTTTGCTCTTCTTTCAGTGAAGAAATATTCTGTAATTCCGATAAAAGTTGCTCGATAGCCACGCTAACGCTAGTTTCATCGGCTGAAGCCGCCATGTTCTTTAGACTGAACTGTCGCGCTTCTCGTTGTGTCACACCTCAACCCGCCTCAAAGCCAACGCTGATTGGACGTTCGTTTGGTGAACGGCTCCAAATTTTCTTCAACGGAGAGTCTCCAGACTGATTAGCAAGTGAAATCTTGAAAGCTCGCGAGATCAGGATGTTCTCACGAGGCTAGAGAATTCCTACTAAAGGGTATATTTAATAACAATCCTGTGTGAATCCCATCACAAAACAGTGATTCCCTTTGTTTCCCTCTTTCTGCTTCAGGTCGGGGTTACTGGAAAAGGACGTTCCTCTGATCTTCATTCACCCGTTAAAGACGGGACTCTTCCGGATTCGGCTGCATGGAGCTGTGGGCAAATTTGGCATGGTGATTCCCCTGGTGGACGGCATGGTGGTTAGCCGCCGCGCTCTAGGTAACGCAGCCAAGTGCTGTTTTTTTAATTAACCCACCCTACAGAACTCTTAAAAAATATTAGGAATATAGGAAATTATTTTGATGTATTATATTTAATAAATTGTTAATATATTTTATTGGTTTGTGGCCCTTTGGGTGTGCTGCTATCAGAGCTCCATTTCTAAAGGCAAAGAATTTCCTCTGGAGAGTAGCTTAAAGTTAGTCAGGTTTTACTTTAAAAGTTTTTTTTTTATATATCTTGGCTCTAAATCTTATGAGATCTAGACTTTGACTAGACCGTTGTAACAGTATGAATGCACTTTGACTTGAAACATCTAAATAATTAAGCTCTAACTCTTTCGTACTGTTTGGGTACATTTTTAACATGTTTTCTTCTAGAGCCGCTCTGTCTTTAGTGTTGTTTAGCTTCTCTGCCTGGAAGCATACATCATGCATACATCATAAGGCTGCAACCACCAAGTTTTATCGTTATTTTATTGTAGTTTTATTTGACCAGTGCTTCTTACTTTATGTTTTTGTGGCTAACTGTAAAATGAAAGTTAATTTGTGCTCCACAAAAATGAAATTCTGATCTGGAATATTTAATAGAGACTCTTTGATCACTCTGGCTTTGTTTTTTTGTCTCTCTTTCAGGGTTTCTTGTGCGCCAAACAGTGATCAACGTATGCAGACGGAAGCGGCTGGAAAGTGACTTGTACAACCCTCCACATGTGAGGCGAAAACAGAAAATCACAGAAATCGTGCAGCGTTACCGCAACAAACAACTGGAGCCCGAGTTCTACACCTCCCTCTTCCATGAGGTCGGGGACGGAAAGCCCCACCTCTAACCCTGCCTCGCCGCCATGTCCTAACACTGGCTCACAAGCGCACACGCCGCACACACTCTTATTCTGAACCCGTACCCCCCTGCATACACACACACATCCACACTCAAGATCTTTATATTTATACTATACTATTTTTGTTATTTATATAAACACATATATCAACACTGTTTGCCTTTGACTCTGAGATCAAAGTGTCAAAAAAAACAAATCATGCCAAGGTGAGGGGAAACACCAACATTTCTGTATTCCAGCTGCGATCCCAACGGTGAAAGTTGAACAGTTTGCCGTCTTTCTTCTTGTTTAGCTCCATGCTTTGCAGCAACAAAAGGTTAGCTTGGTCTTTAATGCAATACGTCAGTAACAACGTTGGCCTTTCTGAACTTGTAAAAGCTTCGTTTTGGTTTTTTTTACTTTTTTTGCTACACGAGATGATTTCATGAGGGAACATAAATCGGTGCCCAAATCTGTTTGTTGTCCGGATGAAACAGATTTAAGTTTGCCAAGGATACAAACCAACATCATTTGCAGCTTAGAAACGTAATCATTTTACCAACGTTGAGGCAGCAGAACTCTTGCTAACGCCAGCTAAAGTCTTCCTCGTGCAAACTCACATTTGGCCTGACTGAGCACACTCTGTCCTTAGCTTTTCTCTCCGATTTAAAGGATTGGTGTGTTTCGCTGAATGCTGGTGTCGTTTTTTGACTCCCCTGTGCTTTTGTGCATGGCTCTCCTTTTATTCCGCTCACATGTGCACAGGTGTGTGTATGTGGCCATTTGTTTGCTTCTTCCGCCCGTCAGTCGACACTACAAGGAGTCAGGGAGCTCTAAGAGCCCTGCACGTGGCATTTGAAAACTGAAATTTGTCACTTTAAACAAATAAGAATCTCATATTTTATTTGTATATTTTTGTTTTTGTTTCCTGAATCTTTCGACAGAGACACTTTTTTTTTTTTTTTTTTTATGTTATCGCTGGAGTTTACTGATGGTGCGAGCTGTGACAGAGCTCCTGGGGTTTGCACTTGATGTTTGCAGGGCTGCCCTTAGATCTAACACACATCTGTCTGAGGTGTGAAGCCACTGCTGATACCAAACTGAACCATTGCACAGTTTTGACTGATTTGTTTTGTTTTTTTTTCCCGGCCGAAATGCTCGATGTAGCTAACTAGTGCACACATCTTGAGCCAGCCTTCCCTTATAAAACGGAAGGCTAAGGATTTCTGCACAGGGCTGTATAACTCTCTCAGTTTTGCTGATCTAAGCTGATATTTCTCTTTAAAATCCTCAAAACCTCAAAAAAAAAGTTTAATTTCTCAATTTTAAGTTTGCATTTCTTGGTTTTCACAAATGTGCATCTGTTGAATTTAGCTTCACTTGTGTTCATTCACTGTACCTTGGTTTTGATGAATGCCCGCTGACTGTCTGCCTGTAATAATGTGAATTTATTTATCACAGAGTTGGAACAGGGCAAACACTTCTTAGTTTAGATGAGTCTTAATGCACTGAGCACATTTTAAAGTTTAGTTGTTTTTTTTTTTTGTTACCTTACATGTCTTTTTGTACTTTTTTGCATTTTGAAAGACAAACCCTGCTGAAGGAAGAGTTTTATCTAGTGAAATATGAATGAAGAAGAGGCTTTGTGGAGTTTTTAACCTATCATGTCTAATTGTGACTCACTTTTTATGACAGTGCTGGATGCACACGCCTTTTCTGGAAGGACAGTTCGTTAAATCTGCTTCAAAGAAACTGCATACAATCAGTCACACGTTCTATCCTGTTACTCCTCTGTCATTGGACTGTATTTAAGGACTTGCTATGTACAGAAGTGGAAGATTTGTAAATATATGATAGCCTAAGGCATTCACATGTTGTCTGTTGTGTTCCTCAGCTGAGGCAACAGAAATAAATGTATGTATGCAGTTATGTGTGGGAGGAATGCAAAGGGTTTTGAATGTAACATGCATTAATTAAAACCATTATTGAGCTTTTAATTTCTTGCATCGCTTATAATTTGACTTTGTTCTCACATGATCAGAGAAATGTTGTTTTTCCGTTTTGAATCTTTAAGATAAGATAAGAAATACCTTTATAGTTCTTCAGAGGGGAAATTCAAGAGAGGCAAAAACAACCAGACAGAAGACTAAGTATGAAAATAACAAAAAATAAAAGCCAAGTTGTACAGTAGAAGAAAAGGGGTGACGCCTCAGAGAGGGAAAAGAATACTGTGCAAGAAAAGGAATATTCAGGTTAAAAAAAGAAACTAACAGCAGCCAGTTAACAGAACAATGTAAGAAAAGCTGTAAACACCTCCAGAGCAGGTAAAAAAAAACCTGCAAATTTTCATTAATGACTTATTAAAAGGGTGTAAAATTGTTCAAATAAATTCATGATCAGAGCCTGTATAACCTTTAGCATCATGGATGTTTGGTAGGAACTGTAATCATAAACAATATAAGTCCGAATCAGTGAACCTCTGTGGGATCAGTGTCACCAGTTAAGTATTAAAACTTAGGCTGTGTCCGAACATCCGCCCTAACCCCTAAGTTTCCCTTTACTACATAGAGCAGGGACTATATAGTGGACTTAACAGTGAACACAGTTAATTATTGAACTATGATCACTATTTTTTGCCACATTGGTCACATTTCTCCCAACACAGTGCCTGCATCATCTCTTCTATTCTTCACTGCCACATTAATTCCCATGTTGGTTGGTGATGAGAGCTCTCGCAAAGTAATCTGGAATGCAGCAGCACATCTGGCGACCATGGATGATTACTATTTTTCAAGGTGCATTGTGGGAAATTTCAGGTCCGCTACTTTTTCATCCACTAGATGTTCTGACACTCATTTAAAATGGGTTAACCACTAAATAGTCCCCCTACATAATGGTCTGGTCTGCACTGGAAAAAAAACGATCTAGAAATAAGTAAAAATGTCTTAAATTAAATGAGCTAGTTTTCCAATGGAATGAGTATTTTTACTCTTAAAATAAGATAATTGGATAACATGTGCTTGAAATAAGACAATGCAGTTGTATTTTCTTATTTTAAGTGTAAATTGTCTTGTTCCATTGGCAAAATGTCTCTTTTATCTTCTAAAACCAAGAAAAAAATGCACTTATTTTAAGAAAAAATTACTTGTTTAGATTTTTTTCCAGTGTGACATTCGGTCACAGACTTAGTGTGAAGTGAAGTGCTACTTTTCAAATGGAACAAAGGATAATTATTATAGGTGCTTGGCTCCAGGTACTTAGAGATTCACTTCCATACAGAAAGCCCACATCCGTATCTTCAGGTAACACAGAGTACATGTCAGACTTAATAATATTACTTTAGCGATAGTTTCAAGGTGTTGATTTATTGTATGTCTCGTACCATGTCTTTTGGTTGTGCTGTTCTTTTTTCATCTCGTTACAGGTGATGAAGCAGACTGAAAATGTTTTGTCATTGTCTCCTTTCTCTTCTTTCTTTCATCTTTTCTCTTTCTTTTTTACTTTTCTTCTTCTGTTTTTTTTGCTCTATTTACATTGCAGTGTCCATATAAACTGTAAAACTCCCTGCATAATTATAATAAAGCAATTTATATGCATGAAACAAGTGGAGCTATGTGGCAATTGCCGTACTGCTACACTTGTGAAAGTAAAATCTGTTGGGCTCTTTTTGGCATCATTACAATTAGTCTTATTGCCACATTGCCAGACAGGACACTGTTAAGAAAAAAACAAAAAACAAATGGAACAAAGGACAAGAGGCAAGTAGCAAAGAAACCCCTTTAAAGAGTGATTCTGCAGGTGGTGACAACAGATAATTTTTCTGTCCCAATCCTTTAGATAGGCCCCTGCTAAAGGGTCTTCAGCATGCCATTAATGTGCAGCTTTCTACTCTGTCAAAAACGGACTCCAGAAGGGCCCAGTGTCCATAAATAGGACCTTGCACTGCGATTGCTGTTTGCCAGCGAATATCAAAACTGGTGGATTGGCCATTGTAGGACCATATTCTGGTGCACTTGGCTCTTGGTTCCTTCTTTTGCATGGTAATGCTCAGCCCCATGCGGCAGAAGCGAGTCAGCGGTTCGTTCATGGTGACAGCGTTGATTTCACAGACTGGCCTTCCTGTTGCACACACCTGAATCCAACTGAGCCCATGTGGGACATCATGTTTTGCTCAATCCACCAACATCACACCACAGACTGTTTGGGAGCTAACTCCAGTCCTCAAAGGCTGGTTTCCTACAACAGTTAGCTATGTCCTTGGTCAAACGCATCTAAATCAAATGGCTGAATTACCTCCTCAACATGCAGTCCATTTCTCCAGAGTCCTCTTAATCATCAGAATACTTGATTCAGGTGTGTTGGACCAGGAACACGTCCAAACATTGCAGGATGTTGGCTCTCGAGGACTGGAGTTGCCCGCCCCCCGGTCTGGGAAAAGATCCCTCAGAACATCTGCCGTCTCTTTAGGACCGTCTGCAGGCACTGATTGGACGCCACACACATGTCTGAGCTTTGTCTAAAGGAATATCCACCACTGTTGATTCAACCTGAAATGTAATTAATACCCTCTCCAAACCCATCATAATAAAGCGTTTACAACTAATAACTTGGAATGCATGATAATTCCACTGGTAAAATGTTTACCAATTTAAACATGTAAGATATTGTTGGAAAGCTTAGATTCTTCACAATTAAACCACCAAGTTCATTTTAGGGACACAGCGAGCACCAAAGCATAATTAACACAGATATAGCAACATGTCAAAATATAAACATGACACAGCAGCCACAACAAGCAAGCATGTTTTTATCACTGCTGTTCAAAAAAGACCTATTATTTTCGAGGAAAAAAAAAATTGTGTCATGTTTGAACTGATGCAGTTTGGGCTGTGTTTAACTCACCCAATTCTCATGTATATATTTAAAAACTAGAACGTGTTAGCTTTCAAATCATTTGTCACTTGTGTAATTTGGGCTTACAGTTCCTAAGTTATTCGCTTTTCTATTTGGGTATGCAAAATAGACGAGGTGGATGTTAAGAGGGTATTCCACTTTCATATGAATCCAAATCAGATTTCCATGGTGTAATACGTTAGATTTACACTAATCATTCAACTGTTAAATACTTCTATAAAATGTACATGTTTAGTAATAAAGTTTTTCTTTCTTTTTTTAATGTGTCCTGTCTGGCAATGTGGCAATAAGAATAATTGTCTTGATGCCAAAAAGAGCCCAACAGATTTTACTTTCACAAGTGGAGCAGTTCGGCTATCGCCATAGTGTTCCGCTTGATTTATGCATATAAATATGTTTATTATAATTATGAAGTGAGTATTACAGATTATATGGACACTGCAATGTAAGTAGAACAGGAAGGGAAATAGAAAAAAAAGAGAAAAGATGAAAGAAAGAGGAGATAAAAGGTAGAGTAATAAAGTTAGTAATTGAGTTTTTCAAGGAGAATATTTATTTGAGATCTAGAATGTTGTTTTTTAGTGTTCCCTTTAATTTTGTGACGAGTATAATATATAGTTGATGTAGGGTAACAGCAGATGGAAAGAAAGATATGCAAAGGTGTTCCTCTCTGCATCTAGAATTTCACAGTCTATCAGCGAATGAGCTCTTTTTCTGCAATAATAATTCCTTGGGTGACAGTGACGTTACTTTTTTACAGCCACGTCTCCCTGACACATCCACTGGATCAAGGAGGCATGCTGGGACAAAGCTGGCCTAAATGAGCTTGTCCAAATTCTTTCTCTCCACAAAAAGAATAAGAGTTTACAGAAAGCAACTGCTGGAGCCAAGAAAAAAAAAGAATAAAACTGCATTATGCTGCTCTAATTAGGTATGGGCTCCCATTGTTGGTATCTGTGGACAAAGAGTTGCTGTTTCAAGACCGTAAAGGTTTTC